CAGGCCTTTTTTTATGTGGACAAGTCCTTCACTGTATTTCCATCCTCATGTCTTTCTGCTCTTCTTGCTCACTAAGCCCAATGTTCAAAGATCTCGTTATCTGTGAGAACTGCCATTTTCTTCCCATCACAGGGCATTTGCACTTGCTATCCCTTCTGCCCATGCTGCAGTTCCCCTCAGCTCTTTGTGTTTCCGGACATTTCTCACCCTCCAGGTATCCATTAAAATATCACCTTCTCAGGTCATTTTCCTTCATGACCAGAACTAATGGAGCCAGCCACTCCCTCTGCCATCTGCATTATATGGAATTATATTTGAATTTAATTTTTGTTCCATAAAGCTTACATTCTCCTGTAAACTGTGAACCCCATGGAATAGACACCTTCCTATCTAGAGCCCGGCATGGTTTATTCTCCATCAGCTGGAGTTCTAAGTCCTACCTCACAAGGGTATTCTGAACAATAAATGAGATAATGCATGGAAGTTCTTAGCACTGGGGCTGGCACAGAGTTTAAGTGTTGGTAAACACACCTACAGGTATCAGTGTCTTTAAATGAATCCAAAATCCTTCTCATGTCCTTTCTGTATCCAAATTATGTATAAGATGAAGCCCATATTTATTGCCATTGTATTCAAGTATGGTCGTGATACAGCCCCCACATTAATTCATTTATTTTTGTCAAAACATAGTCATTGTACCAGGAACTGTGCTGGGACCTGAGGATTAGTAGGTAAATCAGTCCCATTTCATGATCTCTGCGATGTCTTGGGGTAGGAGAGGAGATCCCTAATAGGCGACTGGTAATTATGGTCCATCTACACAAAGGATTGGAGTCCCTGGATGGTGCAGTTAAGCACTCAACTATTAACTGAAAGATTGGTCGTTTGAACCTACCCAGAGCTGTCAAAGGCCTGGTAATTTGCTTCCAAAAGGTCACAGCCTTGAACACCCTATGAAGTAGTTCTACTCTGACATACATGGGGTCACCACGAGTTGTAATTTACTTGACAGCAACTGGTTTTGTTTTTGTATACAAGGGATTGCTCTGAAACTATTAAAAGAAAAAGGCAGCTTCACAATGATATGGAATAAGTTTCAAGATATATTGTTAATTAAAAAAAAGGGAGACTCAGAAAGTACATCATGTGCTACCCTTTCTGTTTAAAAAGACCCATATACCTTCATATGAGAGTATTCACAGAAAGTATCTCTGGAGGTATACCTCCCAAAAAATGGTAGCAGGGGTTGCCTCTGGGGATACGGATTAAGAGACTGGGTGTCAGGGATGAGAGTGATATTTACTTGAATATATGTTACCTGTAAATATGTTATCCTGTAATAATAGCACATGAAACAAATTGCTCATTATTGATAAAAGAGGAGAGAGAGAGACAGAGGGAAAATCCTACCTCACAAAAAAGGAAGGGAGGAAGGAAAGAACTGGTCTTACTCCCTCCTTTTACAGGTAGGAAAGTTGAGAATCAAGGAGGAGAAATGATTCCCCAAGACAGCACAAGCAGTAAAGAGGTGGAGGTGGCATTTAAATCCAGGTCAGCTTGCTTCAGAGCCTGTCAACAGAGCATCATCACAGAGCCAGGTTTACGACCTAGAGTCTCTTGGTGGTACAAACAGTTAACACACTTGGCTACTAACTGAAAGGTTAGCGGTATGAACCCACCCAGGGGAACCTTGGAAGAAAGATCTGGCAATCTGCTTCCAAAAGGTCACAGCCTTGAAAACACTAAGGAGCACAGTTCTGCTCTGACTCACATGGGGTTGCCATGAGTTGGAATCAACTCAACGGCAACTGGTTTAACTGGGTGCCTCTGCAACCGGAATGTCAACAAATTTTATTTGTCTCTTCTTAGACAGAGAAGTCCCTTAATTTGGCCAACATGACCAGAGTCCAGGAGTTTATCTTGTTGGGTTTGTCCACAAGCCAAGACATAAGGGATGCCCTGTTTGCCATCTTCCTGATCCTCTATCTGTTGACCCTCTTGGAGAACACGCTCATCATCTACCTCATCTGCAGTCACAGTGAGCTCCACAAACCCATGTACTTCTTCCTGGGCAATCTGAGCTGTCTGGAGATGTGCTATGTGTCAGTGACCATGCCCAGCCTGCTTGTGGGACTGTGGACTGGACCCTACCAAACTTCCTTCACAGCCTGCATGACCCAACTCTTCTTCTTCATTGTCCTAATTGGCACTGAGTGCACTCTCCTGGCTTCCATGGCCTATGACCGCTATGTGGCCATCTGCCGCCCACTCCACTACCAGCTGCTCATGCGGCCCCAGGTCTGCCTGGGCTTGGCCTTGTCTTCATGGTTTGGTGGTCTTCTGGTCTCGGTGGCCAAGACCACATGCATTGCCAGCCTCTCTTACTGTGGTCCCAATGTCCTCAACCAATTTTTCTGTGATGTCTCACCTTTGCTCAGCCTGTCCTGCACCCATGTGGCCCTGACAGAGCTAGTGGACTTCATCTCTGCCATTGTCATCTTCTGTGGTACACTGCTAGTAGCCTTGGCCACGTATTCAGCCATTGGGGTGGCCGTGCTCCGCATGCCATCAGCCGCAGCCCGCCATAAAGCTTTCTCTACCTGTGCCTCCCAT